TCTCTATTGAAGTTAACCCAAGACTTACCTAAGTCATTCAAATTGCAGATTTTATTCACTAGCTAAAGTGGATGTTCAGTGGTAACCCTTTTTTTTATTTTATTTGGTTAAGTAAACATTATATAGATTTGCTATGCAAAAAGTTGAAATTTAACCTAAACTCTCTAATTGTTATGAATAAGAGTTTGTTTGGGTAATCGTTAGAATCCTATACGGAATAGGAAAATATTGGAAAAATTTTAATTTACCTCGAATAGGATTATTAGTTACCAAATCAAATAGAAAATAAATTAGAAGAATCCTAATATATCGTGAACATGTATATTAGAGATCTGCTAGAAAATATTAATATTAAGTTGTATCTTGATAGGTTTGAGTTATCGCATTTTATCGTTATAAATAGGGTTGAGTATTATATAATCAGTTATCAAACGATTAGTTTTTAGTGAATAATACATCAATGAATGTTTTTGATTCGTGGATGTATGTACGGTGTGTGTCCACTGTATCGAATCACGTTATATCGCTGTGTTTTGTTTTATTATTATTTTTTATCTTTGAATTCCTATCACACAATTTATGGTATTAGTATTAATTTTCCACTATGGAAAACCAACAATTGGTATTAGAGCTAGATTGATGATATTGGTATAAATCAAAGCTAGATTGCCGATTTTGGTACATCAATCAAAGCAAGTTGTTGACGATCCAATGATCAAGTTGGTGTTCATATTGTAGAAGGCTTCTTGTAACGTGTGTACGACGTGATGAAGATTGGTTTTGTACTGTGTACATTAAGGACGTAATCTTGAAAATTAATTGATGCATATTTTTATTTAGATCCACAAGAAAATTTTTAAAGTTGGTATAAAATAAACATGAGACTAAGTTGCTTTCAGATTGATTAAATTTCAAGAATTATCAACACTTACTGTGTTGAAAATAGTTTTTCAAAAATTTGGTCTCTTGAAGTTACGATATTCCAATGGTCAGTTGGGTTGATATAAATTCAATAGTGTAGATCTGGTGTCTCATGGATTATGGTCACTGGACTTTACTTTGATGAATGGTGAAACATTGATCATTGAGACCTCCCAAGAATAATAAAGACGTGGGAGAAACGTATAATATGATATGGACCTTGACGTAGGTTTTGAAATACAAAGAGGATTGTGGTAACTCAAAATAGTATGTTTGCACGTGGTGTTTGAAAAGAGTGGTGGATCAAAATCAAGGGTGCTAAGGTCCAGATTCCACAAGTGAATCAAAATTTAGATTTACATTGGATCTCACTTGAATCACCCCATCTATCCTCCTTAGAAGAAGTGGTTTCAAACCTCAGTTCGAACAAGAGAAGTATGCCATGTTAATGTGTTTTGGATGATCCATATCTCATGGTCGGGCGCCAATGAACATATTGAACTATCTATGTGGCTAAGCGCCCTCACAGCCCAGTCATAATGACACAATTATCAAGAGCGTGTTCTATCACTGAGCTAATAGCCCATGTTGGACATGATCAAAGTTGAAGAGTTTGGTTCAAGAAAAATTGTTGGAATCTGATTCAAATTCTATGGTTGTTACGAATGAAAAGTTTATTGGATAATCAATGCGAGAATCTTATATGAAATAGACAAATATTGGAAGTCTTAATATACTTTGAATAGGTTTATTAGAACATCTCTAACCATGATTCAAATTGAGACTCAAATTTGAGTCTAAATTTAAGTAAAAAGTTTAATTTGGTATAGAGTAATTCAATGGGTAAACTCATATATCTACTTAAATCTTTTAAAAAATTTTCTTATTATCCTAAAAATCATTTTTTTAGTGTCATTCAAATCATAAAATTTGATGAAAATATTTCTCCACAAATGGGCCATTAAAAAAAATTGAATATGGATATAACAGTCCCACCTAGGAACAAAAAGAAATAGAAAAAAAAAAGAAAGAAAACCACATTAGAATTCTTAAATTGCTCTAATTCATTATCTTCTTCTATAAATTCAGATAAAAAAATAAAATAAAAGAAAAACAGTTACTTTGACAAGAATTTGGTCTGAAGAACACAAAAACGGATCGTTTTCAACAAGACGATTGAAGAAATAAAATCACAAGTTTCCTAAATTTGTGGGTAATGAAGACTTGAAATTTTAGGAAGAATCGGTGGCCTAAAATTACACTAATAACATTGTTTAACTCAAAAAAATCAAAAAAAAAATTGACGGGTAGGTTTAGGGTTTATATAATATGAAAGATGAGTGAGATGAAGATTTTGAAAAATATAAGAAATCAAGAAGATGAAAGATGAAAAGGAAGAAACTTATTTATACGTCTTTAAAGGATTTGTGAATACTTCGGCAATGGTCGGCGATAGAAAAAGAGTAGAAGAGAAAGGCAAAAAGAGGTAGTGAAGTCGTCGAAGAAATCTTTTGGTTTTCGATAATCTAAAAAGTTATTGTTAAAAATTTGGTATAGAATTTGAGTTTCTCTCAATTTGGGTCCAAAACAAGTTTTTTTTTTTAATTTGGTATAAGTTTGAATCCAACGTTAGAAAATTTTTTTAAACCATTAAATTTGAGTTTAAATTAAAGTCAGGATTGAAGATACTCTTAATTATCAAATTAAACAAGAAACAAATTAGAAGAATCATAATATACCGTGAACAAGTATGTATATTAGAGATCTAATTGAATAGGTTTTATCATTTTTCATATCTTTGAATTATATCACCAAATTTATGGTATGTTGAAAAAAATCAACACATAATGTAGAAGCGTAAGAGGCAAAAGTAGGAAGATGCATCCAAAAGTAGGAAAATTCTACGGTATCACCAATTATTATTTTTTATGGATAAAATTACAATTTTGAAAACAGAAATTACATCTGCTCAAGAAAAAGTCATAATCGATCATAGAGACACATGATCGATCATGAAAATTTCAATATCGATTCCATCTATCTATGATTGATCATATCCTTTAAAATTGTAACTTACACCTTAAAAAAATTATAACTTAAAAAAATTAGAATTTTTGAAACGATACTGCCGACAGTAATGTAGCCATTCCTCCAAATTCAATACAAGAGAAAAAAAAAAAAAAANTAAATCTTTTAAAAAATTTTCTTATTATCCTAAAAATCATTTTTTTAGTGTCATTCAAATCATAAAATTTGATGAAAATATTTCTCCACAAATGGGCCATTAAAAAAAATTGAATATGGATATAACAGTCCCACCTAGGAACAAAAAGAAATAGAAAAAAAAAAGAAAGAAAACCACATTAGAATTCTTAAATTGCTCTAATTCATTATCTTCTTCTATAAATTCAGATAAAAAAATAAAATAAAAGAAAAACAGTTACTTTGACAAGAATTTGGTCTGAAGAACACAAAAACGGATCGTTTTCAACAAGACGATTGAAGAAATAAAATCACAAGTTTCCTAAATTTGTGGGTAATGAAGACTTGAAATTTTAGGAAGAATCGGTGGCCTAAAATTACACTAATAACATTGTTTAACTCAAAAAAATCAAAAAAAAAATTGACGGGTAGGTTTAGGGTTTATATAATATGAAAGATGAGTGAGATGAAGATTTTGAAAAATATAAGAAATCAAGAAGATGAAAGATGAAAAGGAAGAAACTTATTTATACGTCTTTAAAGGATTTGTGAATACTTCGGCAATGGTCGGCGATAGAAAAAGAGTAGAAGAGAAAGGCAAAAAGAGGTAGTGAAGTCGTCGAAGAAATCTTTTGGTTTTCGATAATCTAAAAAGTTATTGTTAAAAATTTGGTATAGAATTTGAGTTTCTCTCAATTTGGGTCCAAAACAAGTTTTTTTTTTTAATTTGGTATAAGTTTGAATCCAACGTTAGAAAATTTTTTTAAACCATTAAATTTGAGTTTAAATTAAAGTCAGGATTGAAGATACTCTTAATTATCAAATTAAACAAGAAACAAATTAGAAGAATCATAATATACCGTGAACAAGTATGTATATTAGAGATCTAATTGAATAGGTTTTATCATTTTTCATATCTTTGAATTATATCACCAAATTTATGGTATGTTGAAAAAAATCAACACATAATGTAGAAGCGTAAGAGGCAAAAGTAGGAAGATGCATCCAAAAGTAGGAAAATTCTACGGTATCACCAATTATTATTTTTTATGGATAAAATTACAATTTTGAAAACAGAAATTACATCTGCTCAAGAAAAAGTCATAATCGATCATAGAGACACATGATCGATCATGAAAATTTCAATATCGATTCCATCTATCTATGATTGATCATATCCTTTAAAATTGTAACTTACACCTTAAAAAAATTATAACTTAAAAAAATTAGAATTTTTGAAACGATACTGCCGACAGTAATGTAGCCATTCCTCCAAATTCAATACAAGAGAAAAAAAAAAAAAAAAGACAGCATTAAGCTAAATGTGATTGAAGTACTAGTTATTTGGCTATACTCTTACACATCTTGCTACTGGAAATGGTGGACATACTATAAAAACCACTATTATTACCTCCTTTCTTAGAACTCTCCTCTGACATTGCAACAGTGAATTAGATGATCTGCCTTTTTTCTATGGGACAGATTTATTAGGACCCACAACATTAGGGAATTTCTGAACTATTGTTCCCATCTTTATGAGAGAGAAATTTCAGAAACAATTATATACATGTGTAATGTATAGTTACTGTTACTGTGCTGGAGGCTAACTAAAAACCAAAAAAAGTAGCTATACTGAAATTGCTAAACTTGATTAATCACCACTTCACCTTCCACAACCTCCTAACTTAGCAAGAATTGAGCCTTTCTTTCATCCAACCCTCTCTTTCCTCATAGATTCTCAGGTAGCTTTCACTCCCTCCAACTTTGATCAGACTGGCCATCACCCCTCTACATATTTATTTCCTAGACAGAAGCTCCCAGCTGTGCAATCCTATCTTTGCTTGCAGCTCAGCATATTCGATTAAGGTCGAATATCAATGGAACAAGCACGTAATTGGATGTGGACAAAGCGAAAACATTGTTTGAATTCTCCTTTTTTAGCATCAACCAATCCTTCATATGGTGATTCATGGGAGGAACAAGCTTTTGCAGAAGATGCAGCCGGAACTCTTGGAGGGTGTATATGGCCTCCAAGATCTTACTCTTGTAGTTTCTGTAGAAGAGAGTTCAGGTCTGCTCAAGCGCTAGGTGGTCACATGAATGTCCACAGGAGAGATAGAGCCAGACTGAAAGAGTCTCCAAGTCCACAAAATGAAATTCTCAGTCATGAAAATAGTTACAACCATATTCTGAATCCTTGTACATCTTTGGATCTTCAATACCCATCACAAATTTGTACCTTGTTTTACAACCCTAATTCTGATCCTGATCGTGGAGTATTTCCACCACCTTCCTCACGTTCTAGGGTTCAACTAATTCAAGCTCCACCTACACTAACAAATGGTGATGAAAAGACCTTCGTCTCTCCTTTCTGTCCTTCTATTTTCAAAGACTACCACAAGAAAACCTCCATATCATCCTCTCCATGGGGGTCAAACGTCGCTGTTGACAGAAACCTCCATGTCTCGGATTTAAAGGATGAAGAAAAGAATTCAAAAACTTTTGAGTCAAACAGTGGGATTAGTGAAGATTATATCACAACGGATTTGTCTGCAAGCTTGGATTTGGTTGTTTGTCGAACTCTTTCACCTCCATCACCATCTGGTGCAAAGGAGGAGGCTTTAAGTTTCAAGAGGAGGAGAACTGAGGGCATGACATTACCTTTCTTGAATAAACCTAGTACAGTTGATAGACATCATCACCAATCAGAGGTACTTGCACCCAGCCGCCCTAGCTCCATAGAGGATTTGGATCTTGAGCTAAGGCTTGGTACGGCCTAAGGTGAAGTAAAATGGCAAAATCTTGTTCTTATGTGAACAATTACTTGCTTTATTTGGTCATTTCTATTGTTGGTTTTTCTTCCTCTTCTTTGCTTTTTTCGTTTCGTCTAAACGTCAAGGGTTCTTCGCTTTAACAGTTATTGCTGCCTCTATTGAGTACTTCTAAATTTTCAGGGTGTGACCTGTACCATATTGAAATACAGAAAAGCTTCCAGTATTAATTAAGCTCTTGCGTTGTATCGGAAATAGGACGTAAAGATTGAGAGATCTCTGCTTGGTTTAGTATAGTGTGACATAGGGAATCCATCGGTATTCACAAGGACTTTGGCCTCGATCCGACTTTTTAAGAAACTAACCTATAAATTCTATGCCTTCAGACAATAACTCCTCGTCTTCTTGCTGACCTCGGAGGAGATATCTATTGATGATTTATTTTTATATTTACTGGACTAATTTTAGTTTCAGATTTCACACTAGGGTTTCACGGAGAGAGTATATCATGACATGGAAGGCATGAGCCTTTATATGCTTTTGCCAACTAATATAGATTGGAGCAAATATTGGTACAGATCGATTGTGAGAAGAAAGTAGTTAATTCTTCCTTAAACTGCTTAACCCTAATTGCATTGGTGCATATCTTGAAATTAGGATAACAAAACATGTCACTCACAGAGAGAAGACTGCATATGTCATCTACTCGTATCGACTCAATGATAATACTTTGACATAAAAAGGGGACTTAGTGTGTTATTATTGAAGGATTGACAATGGACCTCATTCAATGTAAAGATCCTCTACTTTTTCAACGATAACCACACATTACATCTCTAAATTATATTTTCAAATTAAGTGTCAATAGTATTGCCCGGTTGATTTAAAAAAAAAATAAGTAGAGTCACTAGCACTTCATTTGAATGCATGTCTAGAGTTCATGTTACAGACAGAGAGAGGAAAAGAGGATTTTGAAGCTCAGATTCTTTGGTAACGTGTGAATTTATGGGGAGAAGAAACTGACTAAAAACTGCATCGGAATTCGTACAGTGAGCTCTTATTCCCAATTCAGTAACTCACTGACATTCTATCAGTACGCAATTAAGTAACCCAAGAAGACAAAAAGAGTTAGGTTTTCAAAGACATAAAGTCAGATAACATCACAACATCGATTCCCTTTTCTCTGGTATATATTATTATCATCATCATCGATCTGTTGTAGGTTACAGTAATACAGTATTCTATCTGCATAAATCCATTTCCTTGTGTTCCCTTCTTTCACTTTTCTCTTTCTTTCTCAATCCCTCCAAAACAGCCACCAGTCCTATGGAATCAATCAATTAAAGTATTACAGAAATATTTCTTTATAATTACAAAGAGAATATTATCGTATCATGACGCATAGGCGCTAACTCCGCCTCTTTTGTTTCTTCTGCTGTATGTGTAATTGGGTATATCATCTCACCCTCTCAACAAATAACAGTAAATAAAGAAGAATGAAGTGTAGAGATCGAGAATATGAACAAAGAATGAAACCCTTCAAACCCTAATCCTGCACACATATTTTAGCTACTTTTTCATAGGTGTAGGACGACAGTTCTGGTATGATTTACTCTTCTTTCTTTCCATGGACATGTAAGAATAATTTCCACAGACTTAAATGGGTTTGCTGAGCAACTGAGAAAAGCATGGAATTTATGTCACACCGAACAAAAAACAATCCATGAAAAGCTATGGATTGAAGGTTGGTTTAATGATCATTTAAGGGTTCTTTTCAATATGTGAGAATCTGGATTTTACAATGCTTGCCAAAGTGATAGAGAAAGATAACAAAAAACAAGTGGATGGTGTATAAGAGCCATTAAGAGGCGTAATTAAATGGATATGATAGTGTTTTTTTTTGTTTGACACAGTTCTACATCTGTTTCAGAGGAGTTTATAAGGTGATTGGTTGGCATTTGTCTTGTTTAGGGTTGATGAGTTGGGTAAGTCTGATCCCAAACAGAGAGGTTTTAGTGAAGTGTGCAGTTAGAGACGGGAGGGACAGAAGGGCACATGGGCCATCAGATGTGGTTTATATACTCTTCTGAGGAGTTTATATATAGAATTTAGCAAAGGAATGCGGAGTTATTCTCAGCTAGCCTGGGTTTCTGACAATATCTAGTTTATATATGATGAAAATCTTTATCACTGAAGTGATTATTTACAATTATTTGACAACTAAGGGTATATTTGCATGGGAGGGAGGTCTCTACTCTCTACCCCTCCCCCACACCAAAAAAAAAAAAAAAAAAACCCAAACTTCAATACCTGAAGAATCTTCTAATGATCTTGAGATGGCTCCAAGTTTAATATAAAATTATATAGGGAAATTGTGTGGTTGTGTTTTTGTGTATGTACTGTGTGTTTGTGTGTTGTAATGCAAAGAATAAAAGTGCATCCAATTTAGCAATTAGTTGTCCGAGTCATATTGGAGTTAATTAGGTTTTTGTGCATGGGACAAGTTGCTTGTTTTACCTCATAAATTGATACGAACCTTATTCTTTAGACTTAATTTGTCAGCAAGATTCATTGACCCAATTAGTGTGTTTCTTACATTGACAAAGAATCTTGTCATTAAGTCAACAAATTATACGAGTAGTCGAGTACCATTAAATTTTGCAAAACATACTGAGATATTGAATAAATTCAGTCAAAAGTTGGGCCATGATGAACAGATCCATGCACTAACAATTGAAAATTTAAAAAGCAATGTCTTTCCAGATTGTGTAAGTTAGTTTCTACTTTATGTGTTTGTGTATGCAGATCGCATGGATTGGAAAATGAGAGGTAAATTCACTCATTTTAATAAAGACAGTCATTATGTGTAGTGTAACCCTAGCGGGCTTGAATTTTTAAGAAATTCTCTCATAGGAAGCTGGGACAGGTGAAAACAAGTTTCAGAGGAAAGGATGGTTTAATACTGCTTTATTAGACCAAAGTTAGTGTTCAAATTTTGCTTTTGCTTTGTTGATTATTGAAATTACATGTGTAATGATTACTTGAAAGAGAGTCGTTTTGTGATCTTAAAAAATCGGTTTTAAAGCAGTCGGTTTTTTAGACACGCTTTAATATTTAGTTGCGGAGTTCAGTCCTTTCCAATATGAGTGTAAAACTTGCATCACATTACCTCCTAAAAAAAAGCAGCTAACTAGTGACTAGTAGATATCTCTTTGGATTTGAGAATTCTTTATATAAATTGCCCGATGGGCGATAGATGGAACACAAAAAAATTTCTTTTATATTTATAATTTAAACACTAAAAAATGCTCACCCCTCTATTAAAGTTTTCAGTTATTATATATCTTAAGAGCATGACTGAGCTATTGTGATTTGCAATTTCTTAGCCGTTCCTCTATTAGGAGGAAGAAAAAAAAAAAAAAAAA